CCTCGTCAGCCATAACCACAGATTATCTCAATGGACCACGTCTCCCCAATAAACCTGACCGACCCGCTCTCAGCTACTCATCCCACACTCACCTTCGCTCAGCTGGATTCTCCTCTCAAGCTCGACCCTCACCTCAGGCCTGACCACCCTCCTCATCTTCCACTAATTCCCTACTCACCTCTACACCTTCAACCTCACCCGGACCCTCGCCTCACGTTGACGGCGCCCCTTCAGTTACCCTTTTCTAATAAATATTGTTTTACTCTTTTATCCAATCACCGTGTATGCTTCTGAATGTCCTGGGTCAGGGAACTAAACCAGAACATGACAGCATGAAGTGGATCCTGAAACTAAAATATCCCCTGAAAGTGAACCTATTTGATCTTGAAGTCTGCAGCTATGTGTGGTAAACCCAAATAACACGCTGTAAACATTTAAAACCCACTCAGACCTCTACAGGCTTTCATTTGCTGCTTGCAAAAAAAGTTCCTTATGAAAAAACTATTGTGCTTTTACAACCCTAGAACAGCTGTAACTTTGCAATATTATTTTAGTTCATGCAGTATTTTGTTGTAATGAACACTGTTAACACTAATCCAGTAACTCATCTTCTATATGACCTCATTCAGCTTTCATTGCAGAAACATTCCAACCCATTTGTCTTTTAAAATGTTCCTTCAGTATGAGGTTTATAGGTTTTTGTTCATGAACATTTTCATCCCGACATTTCAACAAGAATGGTGTCCAATCTGCTTGATGTTTCAGACCCAAATGGTGGCAAACATCAACCAACTGATACAATTTGGCTGAAGGACAAAATTAATGGTTTTGCTGCTTTGAGCACGGACAAACATCAAACAGAGGGGAGTGATTCAAAAAGTACAAGTGCTTCAGGGATGGGAGTGGTGTCTAGAGAGGGTTTCTAGGAGTCACCAGACACACAAGTCAACACTCCTTGTAGTTAACACAGTTCTTGACATTTGTGAAACTGGCCCTGAAAGTAAATGTAAAGCGCCCCCCCAAGGCACTTCACAACACAATCAGTCATTCACACGCTGGTGGGGATGAGCTACAATGTTCAAGCTTCATAAAAATCGTACATTAATACTGATTTCAGAAATAAAGATATTCCGTTTTAGTAATGCAGTTTTATTATGACCGCTGGAAGATTCATATCGATGATGTGACACACTTTACTTTGGATTTTACGTCTAACGCATCTGCCCGACTCTTTTTTTTCTTCTTTTGTTACATTCCTGCTACATCTGTCACTAGTAACGGTTATCTTACCGTCCTTTCTACACCCACTATGTCCTAAACCTGATGAAGTAAGCTTTGGATCATGTGTCTGAAGTGTGTTTACTCTCACGAAGAACACAGACTCTCTGTTGCTGCTGCAGCATCACCTTCTTCCTCAATGAATGAGTGAATATCATCATCAGAGGGTGAACTTTACTCTTCAGAATCAGAGGTAGCCATTACCAGACAAAGAGCTTTGTCAACAATAAACAGACCTGTCAGTAATTTAAGTTTCTCCTCTCAAATATGAAACAATATTCACTCTCTATGCTTTGTGCGCCACCTCTCCTCAGTCAAGATCCTCCGGGGGGGTGGGGGGGGTGGGGGCAGCTTTCAAACTGTATAAACGCTACAAATTTCAACAGAAACACATCCACAAGTGATGTTCAGATCGAAGTTACGCATCTTTTCATGACGAATTAAGATTGCAGCCGTGGCTCGTTAAACGCAATATTGCAACTTTGGTACTTACAGGGTAAATTTTACAGTCCTCAGCAGGCCTTTCAGTTCTAAGTTAGTACATTTCTAATAGTTATTTTGATTTTTAATTTTTATTATTTATTGTACACGAGTGGGACAAGTGAAACTACGTTATTACGAGAATTTATTTATATTGTGCATTGTTGTTATATCAATACTAAATTAACATTTTTATGGTTTTGTAATTGATTTATTACAATGCCTTGATTTTAGTGAGGTTAATAGACATCGTAGTCATAAATACGTACCAGTTTATTTGTATAGCGCATTTACACACAGCATGAGAGCTGACCAAAGTGCTTCCCATAAAAGATTAAATCAAAAATAGATATAATCACAGACGTGGTCATAAAATCACAGGCCAAAGGTCAAATCATAGAAATGCATTTTTTAAATGAGATTTAAACGAGGCAAGAGATGGAGCCTGTCTAACCAACAGTGGAAGTGCATTCCAAAGAATGGGGGCAGCACAGATACATGCCCGCTCCCCCCGTGCTTCATATCTCATCCAGGGACATGGAAAGCAGTAGATCTGGAACCTCAGTGCTCGCCCAGGGTTATAAGGAGCAAAAATATCAGAGAGATACAGTGGTGCCAGGCCATTGAGAGCTTTGAACGTGAAAATTAGAACCTTAGAACAAACTCTAAAAACAACGGGAAGCCAGTGAAGCTGTGCAAGGACAGAAGTAATATGACTACGACAGCAGCAGCATGAGCAATCTGAAGGCGATTCAGAGCCGAGAAAGGAGTGCTGATTAGGAGAGCGTTGGCATAGTAGAGATGGGAAGTTATAAATGTGTGAATCACTGATTCTAAATGCCTCCTCTTGAGTATTGGTTTCAGGCGTGTTAGTTGGTGCAACTGGAAGAAGCATGATTTTACCGCAGCGTTTACTTGAGGAACTGTCATGAACTGAACTAGAGGACCCGTGATGACACCAAACACAGTAAGATGTTTTAACAGTCTTTATTAGCCTGAAGCTAATAGGTGGAGTTACCGGGGTAAACTCAGGTACGGGCACGAGTGGGTCGAAGCCAGGTTGAGACGAAACAGGTACAAGGAGTAGGCTAGAGATGTGGTCGAAGACAGGCGAGGGTCGTTGTGGCAGGCAGAGTCCTTGGCAAGGGTCAGGCATGGAAACAAGTTCAGGAGGCTATGATCAGGCAGGATGTAAAAAGGCTGGAAGATTTGCTAGCAGAAGCGTTCAATAATCTGGCAGAGTGCTGGTGGCTGACTGTGGAATATATAGCTGGTGAGGCAGGTGTGTGGCATGAGCTTGATGGTGAGTTGACTGTGGTTGCTGGGGAAACAGGGCTTGGCTGGAGCTTGATGAGGGGACCAGGTGCAATGGATGAAGGCTGATGAGGTGAATGATGGTGCATGGAGGTCAGGGCATGGCAGGATCATGACAGGAACCACTGAGAGTCCAGTATATCCAGTATAAATGCTATGGTTCTATTTACAGACATGATCATTTATTTCTTTGTTTCGGTTTTCCGGCCTTGGTTATGGCCAAGAATTTTAATTTCGTGCATCCCTAGTTACCTCTTTACATATCCAAGTGTGCCTGGATGTATCTGAGAATGGTTGGGATGATCCAAGTCCACTTTGTGCATCAGAGTGTAAGGTGGCCTTCACAAGTTGGTTAGGGCGTGTCCAAGTGTCAGTGGGATGAGTTTGAATATGAGTAGAATGGTGTAATTTTTGGCCAAGTGGCTTAACCGGATCAAAGTGTGTCCATCAGATATTTTAATTGTCATCAGCTTAAAGGAGCTGTGCGCATAATGATTTTTATCTGACGACACAGTCTATTGCCGGGGTATTGAATTCCAGTCCTGGAGGGCCGGTATCCAGCACATTTTAGAGTTAAAACTAAAACATGCTGGATACCGGCCCTCCATGCCCGGAAATAAATATCCCTGATCTAGCGGCCGACAAGCGCATCACTCCAGGATGTTGTTTTCACTTACGTATTTACAGCCGAAAGCAACGCCTCTCGTTTATGAACGCACCCCACTAGCTGACAAAAAAAGAGCTAAAACACATTGTTTTGCATGTTATGTTGTGTTGTGTTTTCATATTTAAAAGACTTACTTGTTCATGAGAAAGGTCTCCAACTCTGCATCAACCGAGGTACGTCCTTAAAAGCTCAAGCACGCCCTGTGATTGATGTTTGTACATACGCGGTGGTCTAACCCTGTATGTTAGTGCTGATCAGTGTTTAGTTCATATTGCACGGGACAGGGGACGAGCTTAGCAAATAAATAAAGACTTATTGCTAACATTATATAAATCACAGTACATGATGAGACAATCAGTTTTATGGATTTGTAAAAAATCATACATAATTCCTCAAAGGGGAAAACGTTGGAAGTTTTTTGTTCACAAGTAATTTAGTTTATTCAGACGCAGCCTAACAATTCTACACCAAGCTGTGTATTCTCCTTAAATAGAAAAATGTTTTCTCCTGGCATTCATAGTTCATTTTATGTAACAAAACAAACATGAACATCTGGCATATAAGGCCAGAATGAACCTTTTTTGGTTTTTGACAGTTCTTCTGGGCTTTGTTGGAAATTGGATTCCTAAGATGTCAAGCGACTGCAAAGATTATCTCCCTCCTTGTGAAAAAAATCTTTACAACTGTAGAATAAAAGACTTCAAATATGACTGTAAGACTCTCATCAGCTTGTTATCCAAGATCATAAACCTTTCCTCCTTGGTACTGTGGTTACTCAAAAGTAAGTTCTCCAGGTCCAAAGTAGGGTTGATGGTGACTGAGGGGTTAAGTGCCTGTCTATTAACTGGAGGGTTGTGGGATCAACCTCTCAGTCTGTTGCAGTCCGTGTGTCCTTGGGCAAGACACGGTGGTCAGAGGGATTGTTATCGACGTGCTCGGCAGCCTCGCTTCCATCAGTGCGCCACAGGGTATCTGCGGCTACATTGTAGTTCATCACCACCAGGGTGTGAATGTGTGTGTGAATGGGTGAATGACTGGTTGTGTTGTAAAGCGCCTTGGGGGGTTGTGAAACCTTAGAAGGTGCTATACAAATACAGGCCATTTACCATTTTAATCAGCATGTGAAAAAAAAGACATCTGCTATAATCAAACGTTTTCATTTCTATAAATGAAGACATGGTACACCACGGCTTTTACACACTGTATCAGCAGCTTTTACCTGTACCACATGCCATGTATTCAGATGTGTATGTGCACTCACTGATGAAGTTCGTCTGGCCAGTGTAGATGGTGTACTGCAGCTCATAGGAGGTGACACTAAACTCATCCTCTGACGTCCAGTGAACAGTGATGGTGTCGTGGGAGGCGGTGCATAGCTCTTCTCTGATAGCTGGAGGGTTGGGAGCTACATGTAAAGCAAAAAAAAAAAAAAAAAAAAAAAAAAAAGCACGACAACATAAATACCAGTAATTGAATATATTTATTAATTTATCCTAAATATAGATGACATCTGTAGAAAAGGGACTCATTTAATATGCATACAGTAAATCTTCACAACCTTTCATGGAATCATTTGTGATGCTGAACACCTAATCAGGTTGCTCCCTCTCACTGTGACCTGACAGAGGCTCAGCATGCTGACATGGCTGAAAAAACATCGACAGGTTCTGCCAAGGGCAGAAGTGTAACACGCTGAGAGGGAAACGGCTACAGACATCCACTGACTGGGACAGCTGGCTGTTGGTTTGATTTATAAGGGTTGTAATCGAAACTGAGAGGAAACAACTGAACACCTAAACTGTACAGGATGTCAGCACATTTAAAACTCAGGTGAAGTTCTGAACAAACTTTATAAACTCCATTTTATAACAGAAGAAACAGAAGTTGTAACAGAAATTTCTGGTGTGCAGACATGAGTGCAAGATGCATTTGTGTTGTTGTATTAATGCATTTTATGTTTTACATCGTTTTTAACCGCTGACCTGCTAGATCCCATAGATGAATTTATATTTAATGTAAATGAGAGGAACAATAAAGGTATTGTGCAATGCTTTCTTTAGATGTCTAAAAACTCAACAAGAGCTGAAAAAATGTCTAAATGTACTTGTTAAGGTTTAAACATGGCAACTGTAGAGTGCACAATTAATACAATTTGTATTTCAATTTAAATTTCAGCTCCATCCAGTCATAAAAACAACGTAATTAATAACAAATCCTGACTGAAATGATTTGTTCACATTCCACTCAGTAAGCAAGTTCTGTTTTTTGGTATTTTTTGATGAACACGCATTTCCATCATTTGCAATAGCTGAACACACATCCACCTCGTGATGGTGTTTTTAAAATGTCTGTTCCCGTAAACATGGCAGAGTGAGGGCAAAACACACTGACAGTGTATGATGCATCAAAATTAATCTTCCATTGTTTCCAGTTATGATCCAAACACACCATGTGATGCTGAATTCCTTAATATTTCTCCACATACCTCTCTTTCGGAGAAATCCACAGTTTTATGAATCCCTACTTGGTCATGGCAGCTTTTCTCAGAGTTCTTAAGCTCTCTGCAGAGCTGTGTGTCCGTGTTTTCATGCATGTGCTTTCAGCTAATGTTTGTTACAAAATATTGATATATTGATTCTATTTATTTTGGTCTCATAATTCATAGTGAAAATATTTAGCACGTCTAAACTGCTCAACTCTGCCATCTGCTGATATAAACCAGTGTCTGCAGTCTGCAGAAAATGTAAACTCTGGACGATTTAGACTTTAGATATGCCAAAAATGCTAGTGATCAAAATAAGGTCTTAAAGCATATAACTATAGAAATACTGGAAACTTTGGAAAGTGAACTCGGATCATAAAAACAATTTTGTTTTCATGAAACTCTTATTTTAATGAACCCTTCTGCAGATAGGTTTAATTTGAAGAGGAGATAGGAACAGCTTCCTAACTCAATGAGTAAACCATGAGCAACATTTGTTATTTAAAAATAACTGTCATTGTTGAACTTAAAATAAATGAGGTCGGTGGAGACAATGTGCACGGCATACCTGTTAGGTAATCTAACCCCTCGAGAATCTTCTTCTCTCGGGAAAAGTCAAGAGCGAAGTTATCAAATGCCTCGTTCAAGTTCACATCAGGGATGAGAACCTGGGAGGAGGCTGTTGCCATGGCGACCCTGTCGAAGGGATTGGGAAATAGGTAGAGGTCAGCAGATTAGAAGAGGTGATGAATTTAACAAAAGGGACAACAGATTAGATGAGGTGATGACAAACAAGAAAGGATGAAAGGTGAGGAAGGATGTGAAAAAGGTGAGGTGACAAGAGACTAGAAGTGGTAGACGTCTTTAGAGACACAAGAACATGTGTGAAATAAATATTTGAGATCTGAGGTAAGACCTCTGCACCTTGGTCCATGTACTCTATATCTACCATTGTGCTAGAGCAGAAGAATATCCGAACAAACACCAACACTCCCTCTGCTGTCAAACTTGTGCCCACTTCAGCTTTGAGCATAAGTAAGCTGCCTGTGGCAGGAGCCGGCATCAGCTACAGTTTTGGCAGGGAGACGCAGCACAGAGAACAGCGCAGCACTGGTCTTTCAGATCTCTGCTCTGCAGTCGGTCTGTCAATAGACGACTCAGTAAGGTGCTGGGAAAAAAGGCTGAGCAAAATAAAAGATGCTCTGCAGGCTGCAGACTCTTTGAGAAAGACCTTTCTCTGCAAGAGAAACTGAACAAAATGACTTCCAGACTGGGGAGCAATGAGAGTAATAAAGATGGTGGAAAGTAAAAACTGCAGAGCTGGCTCTTAAATGATAGACGAGTTTGAACCAGAGTCTGACATTGATTGCAAGAGCTGGGTAAGCCTGATACAGCAAAAATTTCACAGACAGCTCCTCAAATGGATTTCAGAGGTAAAAATCAAATCAGAGAGAGCTCTTTCTAAACTAGAGGATTTGATTTCTAAAGTCAAACAAAGTCACATTGTCAGATATATTAAAGAGGAGTTTTCTTGTGCAACAAAGTGAGATTTATTACAAAGACCGAGAATTGATTTGCTTGAGGCTTTTTCTTGCATGCACCTTTAAAGTGCAACCTGTGAGTTAAGGCCGCTACAGAGTACGCGTTAGAATAACAGAAGAAAGAAAAAGAAATGAACGCAGGAGAACAGAAGGCAGCAGTCTCGTGAGTGGAGCTCCAAAACGACACAAATCAGATGTTTTAAAGTCCTGTATTATTATTATTGTGAATCAAGTAGCTTTTCTACCCTAATGTGCTTGTTTAGATGTTTATGTGTCAACACGTTGCATCACCTACCTTTCTGCCACGTTTCTGGCAGACTGGAGGAAGCGCGCGTGATCGTTCTCCTTCAGGCTCTGTTCGGCCTGCGTGATGAGGGCACTGGAGCGCTCCAAACACTGGCGACAGTTTGCAATCTGCTGAGCCAACTTGCGCAGTTTCATCACCTGAAACAAGCACACACACACACACACACACACACACACACACACACACACACACACACACACACACACACACACACACACACACACACACACACACACACACACACACACACACACACAGAGAAGATGTTGCGATACATGATTTATATTCACTTGCACAGATCGAGTCCCGACAGCTCACACTCTTTATCTTTAGGGGTGAAAACACAGACAACAATACCTGCTTTATATTATCTCACCTAGGAACGTTTCAGGGGTAAACCCCCCTCGTGATTCATTCCGAAACTCAAACAAAAGTTCTCACCAAATTTATTAAATCATTTAAAGGCACGCTTTAAGAAAGCACTGTCAGGCTTGGCAGCCGGATCGAGTAGGATACTAATCTGGCAAAGAAAGGGGGAAATTTCCCAAGTGAAAGCACAAAGAAGTCATATTGAAGACCATGCATGCACCTTTATTACCATAAATAGTCCTAAAAAACACTAAACAACAGAATCCTGCGTCATCAGTGGCAGGCAGACAGTATTTGTAGCTAATAGAAAGAAGAAAGCAGATCCAAGGGGGTAGGTTTTCTTGTAAACATGAAATGTTTAATGTTGTTTTCCTTTTCTTGAGAAAGAGTTGCTAATATAGCTGATGAATCCACACACGATGCGACCAACTACAAGCCGTGATGGGGTATGTGGGGAGTGTGTCATTCGGGTTTTTCCGGAACATTGTTGCTACAATGCTTGAAATGCTTTTCACACTGATGGCAACTAATAAATTAAGTGCTCTGTCAAAAAATTGAAAAAATTTAATTTCCTCTTAAACACAAAATTTTGGAAATACCTCATCCAATCCAGCTCTTGACACACAAAGCGAGTGGAAGGAGGTTTGGTTAGGAGTTCTGACCTTAGCAGCTCAGCTGATCTTTTTGTTCCTGTGTCACAAGCGGTGTTGTACCATATTCTGCAGCCATCAGATTACGTGACTCTTTCATGAAGCCTAAAGAAAAGTGTCAGACCTTTGAATTGTTTTAGAAATTTTTCTCAATGTAGCTTGCTTGAACGTTTTTTTTTAACAACAACGAAGACAGAGGTTCTAAGTGAAGCCAACGCTTGAATTGTTTTAAGAGCACAATCCTAAAAAGTAGGCCTTCACCAGACCTGTTCCTTGCCAATGATCTTGTTTGTGGCGCTCATGGACAAGTTCTCAAGGCACTGTCATGGACAGAGCGGTGTCTGATTTGACAACTTAAAGGTCTCATGTCTACATTCTGCAGTTTATGTGGTTCTAATGGTATCCAACAGCGTCTTTAAGCCAAAAACTGTCAGTGGGACAGCAGTAGCTCAGGAGGTAGAGTGGGGTGTCCAGTAATCAACAGGTTGAAGGTTCGATCCTGGCTCCCACCAGAGAGTTTTGCTTTCGTGTTTTTGGGCATTACACTTAACCTGCCTTGCCTGCTAGTGGCGCCAGGGTTCGGCAGCCTCGCCTCTGTCAGTGCGCCCCAGGGCAGCTGTGGCTACACTGTAGCTCATCATCAGTGTGTGAATGTGCGTCTGAATGGTTAAATGACTGACTGTGTTGAGAAGCGCCTTGGGGAGCTGTAGATCCCTAAGAAGATGCTATACAAACACAGACCATTTACCATTCAGTGTTGATTGAAGTAATTTACAACAAGAGAAGCAAATGAGAGTTGGCAAACCTGAGGTCATGCTTCTTCACTGGCAAAATAACTGTTACGACCCCTCTAGATGTGAAATAAAGCCCAAGAGAGGATGTCTTAATATTAGTGTCTTGTTTGGGAGTGATTATGGGATGGACCATAAGAGGGAGCAACAGTTTAAGCTACTGTGTTAATTAATGAGGGCACTGGTCAGGCTTGTCAGGATGAGAAATGAGCTTGATTTACTGTCGTGTCGAAGTTCCAACCCTCTCACATGGACACACGATTTTGATTGTGGCTAAAAGAATGTCATCAACAGGGTGATAGGGTGAAGAGTTTTGTATTCAGGAGGAATTTGGAGTAGATTTGCATATCTTCCTCAGGAAAAGGAGTCAGCTCAGAAGGTTTAGCCACAAGGAACTAGGGTGTTCCCTGGTTGCTTTTCTTCTAGTCTTCTGGGCACATTCCAATAGCAGATTACATTGGGACAAACCCACAAATTAAAGGACTGGGAACACCTTGGAGTGCACCAAGTTAAATTTGAAAATGCCACTGGGAAAAAGGATGTCTGAACTTCCTGGAACTGGTACGTCCTCAACCTGACCTTAGAATAACATAGAAGATGAATGAATTCACATGAGAAAAAACTCGTACAATGCCCATTACAGAAATCAGCTGTTATGACAGTCTACTGGATCCCCTATCATTTGGTGAGAATCACACAAAACAGGAAAAATGCCAATAAAACAAATTAAAACTGACTCTTATGTGCACCAAGAGCCACATCCTGGTTTACACACAAGAAAATAAACATGTTTTTGTCATGCTGTCTTACTTGACTGTAATTATTTAGCAGTCAAGTTGTTTCCAACCAAGCATAAAGAAACTATTCAATGTTTATTTTAATGAATTTGTTTATCTTCACAGTGGTTAATGTCCTGACTCTGGGTATGAACTCTGTGGCAAATAACCAAAGCTGCTTGAGATTTTTGTAAATGTCACCAGCGGGTGAGCTGTAGTGGAAAATACAGTAGCAACCGTTTGAACTAGGCTCACTGCACAAACCATGGGTAATTTAAAACTCATGCAAATCCTTAAAACACAATGAATACTAACTTCATTTATTTGGGTTTAAAGTAAAAAAGGATGTAAGTCGGTTCGACTGAAATTTAGCAATGTTTATCTCATTTGAACACATAAATAAAACTGGTATCTGTTTGTTTCCTGTTGGTGGGGAGGCAGGTGTGTGTGAAGTGTCTTAAAACTTAATGTTGATTTAAACTTGAATCTTGGCCACGATTCTGTCATTTGGTCCATTTGAGTTGGTTGGTGAACGGAAACAGGCAAGATGGCATTAACGATGGGATATTATTTGGCAACATATGCTGCAAACAACAATTTTCGAGATGATTACTCCTCTACGCAGGAATAATAGGCAATATGGCTCCGTCTGTGTGTCTGTGTTTGGATGCCTAGCCAATTTAAGCAGAAGACTGAGTGTAATGGGAAAATGTACGAGTGGAAAATGGCACAGCAGGATTCTGACAAATGACCTTAGAATAAGAAGGACAAAATTCAGATTATATAAATGAACACATGTTGCGTATAAAAATTTAGATTATTTAAGTTTTTTCCAGCTCGAGGGAAAAGTCACAGTTCAAGTGATGAGCCAAAAACATCAGCTCTGTTAAACAGACATGACTACTTCGAACACATACAGATACTTGTTAGACTAAACCCACAGAGCTATGTTAGTGGGATTATGTTATGATTCATTTTAAACTAAGATGTGTGTCAGCGTTTCATTGCAGAGAACATGCTGATTTAAAGGTTCTTCAGCAGTTTTAATAAAGTTGGGGATAAAAAAACTGTAGCATTTGATTTTATTTGGTGTAACTCGAGTTTTGTAACTGTGATTATGTGTATTTGTATAATTTACTGCAGTAACGAAGGACCCCTATTTTCAAACACTCCATTTAATTTTAAGGATTTCTTGATTTAAAGTTGTCTATGAGTGCGTTTACATGCAGCCAGTAACCCTTTTAAAACCCGAATATTCACAATAACCCGGTTCCGCAGGTCCATGTAAACACCGCCAAAAACCCGGATATGCTCATAACCGGGTTTTTAAAAACCCAGTTAAACACCTGGGGTAACCCTTTTGTAACCCGAATGTTTGGTCGTGTAAACGCATACCGGGATATCCCCATCAAAGCGTGTGTTCTGCACATGCTCTGTTCACAAGGAATCTTGGTCTTTTGAGTAGCGAGACGTCTTGTATGCGCCAGAACACCGGAAGTAAACAACAAGTTGGGAGCAAAATGGCGAGTCGCGGCACAGCACCACACTTTTGGAGTGACGAGGAAACTAAAGCTCAAACAAGCGTGGTCGCTATCTCTTCCGAACTGGAAAACATGTTTTCACGGATACCAGAACAAGAAGAACCGGAAATGACGCATACGTCCTGACGCTACCCCAACGCCCGCATTTAAATCGGGTTATGCAAGTTAGAGGTAACTCTTTCTATTTATGCTTGTAAACGAGTTATTCTGATCAACTCAAGAAACCCGAATACCGACCTTAACCCGATCATAACCCGGATATTGGCTGCATGTAAACGTAGTCATTGTTGTCATGATCCTGCCATGTCCTGACCTCCATGCTACCACCATCCACCTCATCAGCCTTCATGCATCACACCTGGTCCCTTCATCAAGCTCATGCCACACACCTGCCTCACCAGCTATATATTCCACAGTCAACCACCAGCACTCTGCCAGATTATTGAACGCACCTGCTAATAGCTCTTCCAGCCTTTTCATCCAGCCTGATAATCGCCTACCGACCTCGTTTCACGCCTGACCCTCGGCAAGAACTCTGCCTGCCTCCATGACCTATGCCTGACCACGACTATGTCCTGAACCTGCCTTGTTCTGATCCATGCCTGCGTTCGACCACGTCTTTTTCCTGCTACTCGAACCTGCTTCGTATCATCCTGGTTCCGACTCACGCCTGCCCTCGACTGTCTTTACCTGAACTCTGCTCTGGTACCATCTCTTCTTAGCTTCAGGCTAATAAAGACTGTTTTCTACCGCCTACTGTGCTCTGGTGTCCTTACGGTCTTCCGCCAAGCTTCACAACAATTGCGGCAAATGTAGACTAGAGGTACGATCCTGAACTGGAAAATGCTTTTCTTATTCTTCTTGAAAGACATTAATGTGAGATCTTAGATCATTAAGAAACAGTCTACTCATGAAATGGGATGAATTTGTTAATGTGGTGGAAACGTATTGAAGTTCTGGATGGAGTGTGGGAATTTCAAGAAGGACGTAGTGCCAAGAGTATGAGCCAA